TTTTTTTTTCTGAAACTTTTTTTTATTTTACTCATTTAATTTATTACAAATGATTTATTCTACAATAATATGGTAAAAGAAGTTTTTTTGTCCAATTATACTGTATCTTTTTAATTTGCGTTTCATTACTTCAAATCTTGTATAAACATAGTTATTAAAAATTGTTGTTTTGAAATCAAAGGTACGCTTATTGAATGGAGGTGCTTTCGAAGGAGTTACAGAACGTGTACAAGTATATAACCATTCTGCCAACTGGAACAGTCACTTTAACTTCTCGTGCCGAATCTCACCTGATCCTTTAACAGGTGTCCTTGAAACTTGTGCATGCAGGATCTCGCTTCGTAAAGTAATCTTAACATTAAATTCATAATCCTTCGTAATAATAGTATGATTTCTGTTCTTGAAAAATAGTATTTGTTTGAAAATTTATATCGTGTAGTTCTTTTTCTTAGTCATTAAAGAATATCAAATACTATCATTTCTGTTTTAGAAAGTTTTTAAGATGTAAAACGTTCCTTTTGTTTTGAACAGTTGATCATATTATTAGCGTATAACGCCTTGTCGAAACTTTTACTAGTACTCCGTATGCCAATTTGATTTCCTTTCATGTTCGGTTTTTTCAGGAGCAGAAAGGTGGAAAAACTTACTCAAAACTTGGGTTTGTAGACATCAATTTGGCACAGTTTGCTGCTTCAGGCGTTGAAGGAATTACCAGATCATTTTTGTTAGATGGTTATGGAACAAACCAGCGTCAAGATAATTCTAGAATATTAATCAAAGTCACAATGTGTCATCAGAGCGCGGATCCTATTTTCAAAGTGTATGCTATATATTACTTACTCTCCACATAGTTTGCATCAAAATGCCATTGAACAACTAGTAATTGTAAAAAATGAGTTATTAATCAGAAGTAGTTTAAAAAGGATTTCTAACAAAAAATTCAATGTTTTAGCATTGAAATAGAGTAACAAAAAATAATAGCTGAATCTGTTTTGATCTGAATTTACTCAGTAAAATAAAAGTATTTCAAACGACATTAGTAGCTTTAACATTTAAAATATTACTTGAAAAAGTAGCAGTCTTTTTTTCCATCTCATTGTTATCATGGTCATGTTTCTTTCAGACCACGTATTGAGTCATTGTCAGAAGAATTGACATTAAATCCTTTAGACAGGAAGGCACCACCAAATGATGATTGTATTTCAAATAAAAAACAGGGAGACACTGATTCTGCTCATTCGTCATCAATCGAAGATTTATCATTTTGTCATGGTACTATTTCATTTTTATGAAACTGATGTGAACTAAGTTTCATTTGTTACTTGATTGAATTATAAGCATTTCTTTATAATTCGTTTCCAAGGACATTTAATCACTTGGCTATTTCATTGAGAAGTAACGTACAATAATTAATATACGAATGATTCCATCAGATCTGTTATTTCTTTCAATTTTGTAGATGACAAGTCTTTGGCAACAGGTGCCGCTTCTGCTAGTTCTTGTCATGAATACCATGCAATTGAAAGCTCATTTACAAGTGTTGTGTTGAAGAAAGGAGATATTCGAAAAAACACAACTTTAGCACAGACTAGAAGGCTAAGTCAAGACAGGTTAGAACTGAATATTAAGTCATTTTACCGTTTTGCACTATACTGTGATTTTAAAATTGTTTGTTTCAGATCTCAAATGAGTAAAAGTGGTGCATGCACAAATGAAACTACTACACGTATTCGCGCCACACGTGTTGATGCAGAAGATTTGATTGATCGTATGCTGCAAGAAACAGTTAATAGTGATACTGGATCAGAAGATCGCTCAACGGAAAGGGGTATGCACAATATTTTGTCTTATATTGCACAATATTTTGTCTTATCGCAAGAATTTAAGAATGAGCAGAATGCTTCAGGTAAAAATTTTTTTTCTTCTACTCTCAAAATATCTTGAATCATCTACTAAGTCTAATTTTAACAGGCAAGTAATATCTAAGTATATTTTAACAGGCAAGTATGTAAGCTGATTTTTCTTTTTAATGAAATATTGTCTCTCTATCCTACTTGCTCGTTATTGTTATAATTTTGAATGTTCTTTCAAACTCTTACATTTTAGGATTAGCACTCTTTGTATCGAGGAATGGTGAAGCCGTTGTAGGAGCAAATATGTTACCGACGGATTCTTTCGAACGTGTACATATATCATCCGATGCTGGTTCACCTTTGTCAACTGGTTAGATTTCTGGATGTTAACAGTATAAAATAGCAAATAGATTTTTCATAACGGGTCTTTTTCTTGGTCATTTTTTATCACTGTAGATACTTATATATGCGCGAAATTTTTTGATGTTATTGCAATAGATAGTAATTTATGGTACGAGTTTGAAAATTTTTAAGTTCTTTCTTTTTCATCTAGCGAAATGACGTGATTCAGTTCTCGTTGAATACCACATTGCAAGCTGATTTTGAGACAAGTAAAGTAATGGAATCTATGCATTTGAAGACATTGAAGTTTTAGCGCTTTAAACATGTTGTCATAATTCTGTTGACTTGCACTTGATATTTTAAGGTGAAACATTTTGAATCACCTAAGGTTGTGGAATTTGGTATTAACTGTAATTACGTTTGTAATGTTTACGCGAATCATTGATGCAAGTGACCACATTTATAGTATTTTATTAGAACCTCTACATAGTTTTTTTGTTTACTTTGTCCCCGTTTTGCATTTTCTATAAAGTAAATTAAATGCGAAATATATGCTGCCTTTAACCAATTTAGGAATGCAATGCATTTCGTATAATGAAAAAGAAACTGTCATATACTGCTGATGAGTAAATAGTTTAACTTGGTATGATGTGTCTAGTACTCATTTTATATTGATAAAAAAATTAGGAAAGTAAGTAATCAGTTTATAGCGATGTAGTTGTGTACTAGAAAACTATTTCTTTAAATCATTCAGGCTTAATGATTCAATCAACAAGAATTATTTATTTGCAAACACTGGAAACTATTTAAAATAATAACCACATTGTATATAATAGTAAATTTTAATTCCATAATATTATAAACTAAACTTAAAATCCACATTAGTTTTTCGAAAAGTAATGTGAATTCTAAGTTTATTATGGAATTAGTCATTGCTATGACGATATTTTCTGCAGTTAAAATGAAGACTTGTAGTTTGACGTATATTGCTATTATTATAATACGGTGTTGTTTAGAAACCGATTAACAATTACAACGAAAACTTATCATCAATTAGTTTGGTTCGGCTTTGGCACCCATAATGCAACGGTTATTGAACTTGGTGCTAACAGAGGGATTCCTTCTTCACTTGTATGGTTTAACATTGCTTCAACTAAACGTGCCGTTGCAGCAAGCACAGCATTCATTGAAGAAGAGTTTTGCGGTTGCTCAAGCGAGCAACTTCGTGTTATGAAAGTTGAGTACAAAGTATGTCCGTCAATTTCTGCATGTAGTCCTTCAGAAAGCATAGGATAACTAATTGTCGGTGTTGTAGGGATCTGTAAATGAGACAAGACCGGGTGTTCCATATGATGTCGTTGGATTAGGTAAAGTAGAGGTTGAGGATGACGTTGATTGTGAAAGTGAGGTCGAATTTGGAGTCGTTGCTGGTGTTGAAGTTGTAATTGAGGAAGAGAGTGAAGGTGAACCATGTGTTGTGTTCGAAGTTGAGGATGGAAATTTTGTGGAAGCTGGACTCGGTTTGAAGATAGATATTGAGATGGAAATTGGGGTAAGTGATGCCGTTGATTAGAATGAGGCGCTTGATATTGGGATTGAAGTTCCCCCGGTACTAAGAATTCTTGTTGAGGCTGGGTGCTCCTGAGTAGAGTTGGGTTCAACTCTGAGTTTCTAGGTCGCAATGTTCTTGGAGATTGAGTCCTACTCGATCCTCTGATTCTCCTGTAATGCGATGGAGTGTTAAGGATTTGTAAATCGTTTTGCTCAGTATTTTGCCTTTGTGACAACTCAAGTATCCGTTTTCGGTAATTTGACATCGATATCACTCTTGGAGCCACTCTTGCTAATGGTTTTTCTTGCTGTTGTTCATTTGATGTTTCCTTCATCTGTTTATTGATATCGTCATTTGAAGCGTTGATGTAAAGAAGACTTTCAGTCTGCAAAAAATATAATTATTGAAAGCGATAGTTTCCTTGCAAGTAAATTTTTTGAATGCAAGAATCAGCTTAAATGTATGTATTGCACGTAGTGCACTTGTGCTTTCATTACTTCTTCACGTAAAATAATTATTAACCTCACCAAATTGTTCGCATAACTTCCAAAGATAAAAGCATTTATTATTACTCCAATCGTGAGCCATTTTGTAGATTCCATGTCTAAAAATTCTGAAAGTTAAGATTAAATCATCAAGGATAAATGACTTATATTAAACGAAATGACTTTCACCTCAAGATATTCATTACTTTGTGAAGTAAAATAAATTGTAAACTTCAAAGAATTCTCATAAAATGATAGTGCATTCTTAATAATGATTTCTACAGTACATCTTTTTTGTCAATTTTAGACCAAAATAGATTTTACGTGTAAGAAAGAGCTGGCTTAAAATTTCCGTTTACCATTGATAGAGTAAGACAATAGTGGAAGAATGTTAACTCACGAAAAAAAGCTACAAACTTATCTCAAGTCAAACTAAAAAGATATTGAAAAGTAACTTCACGTTACTTTACGTTACTTTTTAACAAAAGATGACAGTATAGATAGCACTCATTTTGCATAAATTTGTAATCACAATGTTTGCAAAACGAAGCAGACGTAATCTGACTATAATCTTTTTTAGTTCAACCATGTTAGGCTATGGTGCGAATTTTTCACGCCATTTCAAAAAAATGATAATCAGATTATATGCAACTTTAGACAAGTTAATTCACCAAATTTCATATGTTATAATAAGCAATAATTTTATTAATGGTGCAAACAAATGTAGCTTTGACCCCTAAAATATTGTCTTAAAAAATGTTTGGTGTTCAACACCCGGTAATCAAACCATAATGTGAATTCAGTAGAATGATACAGACTTGGCGAATTCAGAATGAAATCTTAGATGACATAATCTAAATTAAAGAAGTAATAAACTCCAAGCTTTACTAGAAATCAGAAGTATGCGAGTTTCTGACTTCTTTCACTAAAAAGATGTAAGAAAGCATTAAGTGAAAATTATCATTGAATACTTACTTATCACTACTGCTACTATCAACTGACTTACAAGTAGCAAAATTAAAGTTCTAATTTCTTGTCAACAATTGTCGTACAAAAAATATTTAAAGGTAGTTTTTTAGATCTTTACACTTTTTTCTTTGTTAAGAACTACCAAAAACGCAGTTATTACATTTGACTTTTGGTGTATTGATCAAAAGTCAAATATTTCAAGCAATTTAGCTTTTATTATATTTTTTGAAGTAATATGAAAATTCGACAACATCAATAATACAGTTGTGTGGAATAAGGATTATAGGAATATAGATGTCTTTTTTTGAAAAATAATTTATTACACTTACAAATTCATGCAAATCAATGTTACTAAAATTTTGTTTATTGTTAAAAAGTAATACGATGTTAGGTTTCAGCAACTCTTTTAACTCAACTGCAAACACGTTTGATTTTTTTTTTGCGTGAATTGACACGTTTTTTTTTCTGAGTTCATAGCTTACAAATAATTAATTTTCTGTAGAGAATTTAATTTTGTATGACATGAATCATC